CATGTGGCGTGCCGCGCCGGCAGCGCGCGCAAGCCGCCGCGTAAGTTCGCTGTGCCATCTCGCGCAAGACCCGTGCTTGATCGTCGCTCACGTGGTCTTTTGGGGAAGGCCCCAGGGCCCCGACCCCGTTCCGCCCAGGGCCCGTTTGCTCCATGCCATGACGCAGCGAGCCCGCAGGCTCGCGCTCGGGGACCTCGCTGCCGCCGCGCACCCCGTCTGCGCCGGCCACCAGGCCGCCGTGGGGCTGGGAGGACCCGCCGCGCCCACGCCGTCGCCGTCGCCGTCGCCGTCGCCGCGCGAGCGCGCCGCACCGAGCGCGAGGCCTTGCCGAGCACGGGCGCATGGCCGTCTGGCGCTCCGCCCTGCTCCCCGTGTCTCGGCTGCGCGTTGAGGGTGGCCTCTCGCCGGAGTGGCCTCCTGGTGCGGGCCCACGGGGAGCACCCCATGCCCAGCACTGGCCTGCACGCTGGCGTTTGACCAGTCCGTCGCGGCCCCCCGAAGCTTCGCACCCAAGGCCATTCTTGCCTAGGGCCACTCTGAAGTCTTAGCCGAATGCCTGCGTTGCCTTTCGGACTCTGACGTCGAGGAGCCTGGGCCTCTGGCGGACTTCGGGTGCCGCCAGTGGAGGCCCTGGCCCGACCCGGCGCAAAGACGTCAGAAAACAGCAGTTGGAAGGAGATGTTGATCGGGGCCATCGAGCGTCTTGCAAACACACCCTTGCGGGAGAAGACCCTAAGCAGCATAATAAAGCAATCGAAGAGAGCAGAATCATGTGTTGCACATGTGGGAGACCATGCTGGTAGGGGGCCGACAAAAATACATAAACATAACATCTCAGATGTCCGCGCTGATTTCTTGGATCCGCGCTGGACCCCCCCTCCCTGGCGCGCGGAGCGCGCCAGGAGCGGCGCCGAAGGCGTCGCCAGGGGGCCCTAGCGCCGATCCGCGAAGTCCGCGCGGACCTCCGAGTTGTTATGTTTCTGCCAGTTTTCGCTCCCCTATAGCGTGCGGGAGCCTGCGGGATCGCGCGCGGGAGACCCTGCGGGAGACCGGAGCCCCAGGAGACCACACTGAAGAGCTCACCGGAGAGCATGCGGGAGGCCATGCGAGACGCCGCGCGGGAGACCATGCGGGAAACCCCGGGGCACGAGCCAGGGGCTCCGGGCCCAGAGGAGCCCACGCGCGCCGAAGAAATCGGGGACGGCAAGGAGAGGGGGTGAGGGCCAGCTCGGCGGGCGGGGGGGGAGATCATGGCGGGGGCCATTATCTCCTTTCAATACGTCCCAGGCCGCCCCCCCCCCCGGGCCGCGCACATGCCGCGGGCCATGATTTGCGCCCTTCCCTCTTGGACATTCCTCTTGGCCGCCCCCTAGGAAAAAATGACAACCTTTACAAAGCCTTACAGACGAGCCGTTGTTTGGGGGAGAGAGAGCTCAAGACGGATGTTTTTCGCCGCTTCGGCCTCAGGGGGTCTTGGTTGCCCCGAGAACCTAGCCTGGGTGAAGGGTAAGGGTCGTTGGGGTCCCCATGTGGTAAAATCAAGGCATCGGACGTTTTGGAAGGCGACCCTAGTTGTTGCCAGGAGGCCCAGATTGCCCCAGAGCACCCTCACGAGGCCCAGAGGGCCCCAGAGGCAGAAAAACTGCATCAAAAGCTGGGGGCACCTTGGGCCAGGGCCATCCCTGGCAACACCCGATGATTGAGTTGCTCAGTCGCAGCTTCTGTTCCTCGCTTTGAGATTTGTGTGGGCTGCGGTCGGGCCCCGCGGCCTAGACTACGTGATCAGATCGAAGCCATGTCGTTCTGCGACTGCTGCTGGCCCCAGCCTGCCCCAAGCATCGAGAGATCCTTCGTCGCCATTCCCGTCGCCGACACTACCCTACGCATTCTTCTCACCCTCCGGGCCTAGCCGCCCAAGGGGCCCCCCTCTCTCAGCGAGCCAGCGAGCCATACATGATCCCTTGGAGTTTCATTGGGTTTACCTTGGGCCCTCTCCAGCCATTGTCCGGGCCTCACTGCTGCTCTTTGGAAGCCAACTGGAGCCTCCTGGAGTCCCGCTCGTGGGATGAGAGCGCGAAATGGAGACGTGTGCTGCAGCCCCCCCGGCTCTAAGAGGTCTGCGGCATCGCGTGCCCCGCGAGCGCGCGAGTTCTGCGCATGGTGGCGGATCCCGCAGCTCGATCCACGGGCGGAGCGTCGCAGGCGAACTCCCGCGGGGCCGGGGGGCTCCGATCCTGCGGACGAGCGGGTCCAGAGGTGCGGGGCTTCCGAGCCCGCGGAGGAGCAGGCAGCCACCAGTCGGCCCGGGCAGTGACTCCAACCCTTTGCAAGCCGAAGTCTGCCTCGGCGGCGGGCTTCACCGCCACACGGGCAAGCCAAGAGGGGCCCGCGAACGGCCGAGACGGCCTTCGGGCGTCAGCGGCGCGGCGACGTCTACATGCTCGTGGGCGAGGCTTAGCTGGTCATCGAGGGCATCGTCGGCCACGAGATCGACCGCCAGGAGTTCATGACCGAAGTGCTCGATGACATCGTCCACGGTGAACTCGGAGACGCCTGGCCGCTAGACGGAGGCGCCAGCGGCAGCGGGAGACCCCGCAGCCCAGACGGCCCAGCAGGTATTTGACGCGCTGCGCGCCGTGGCGACCGGGGCGGAGCTGGCCGAGAAGCGCGCCCAAGAGCTGGAAGCCCGAGCACAGACGACGGCCCAGCAGCAGAGCCTGAGGCTGCAGCACGCAGCTGCAGCAGGCGCGGCAGCAGCTCACGGCCGCGGGAACCGCCGCAGAAGCGCAGCCAGCAGCGCCGCCAGAGCGCCGGAAGTGGGACACCCTCGGCACGAAGCCGTTGGCTAAGCCGTCCCAGTCCGAGAGAAGCGAGGCGACCTGGCCCCCGTGCCATTGTAAGCTGCCCCCGTAAACAGCGACTCTGGACGGCGAGTGGTATCAGAGGATGTCCGCGGCTGGTCAGAAGAGCGAGGACGACGTCACCAACGACGCGATGAACATTCTGAAAACCCAGAGATGGCAGGCGTGCCCCGACAGCTGCTCCACACGCTCGCGCTGCTCCTGGAAGGCAAGGCGTTCGCCACGCAGCACCCGATCCTCAAGGGCGAGGGGCTGATAATGTGGCACGAGCTCGCGAATGAGTTCGAGCTCGGAAAACCAGTACCGACTCGGCCGCATGCGGATGTTCATGGGCTGGAGCTCTGGGACAGCTACATTTAAAAATCCTGTACGACCGATTTAAAGGTCGCTGCGCAGACGCACGAGCTGTTCGGCAGCACGGAGCCCGGCAATTTAAGACAGCGATCCTCGTGGGGTCGTTTTCTTATTCCTCGTTTTGCCGATCGGCCCAGGCCCTCGCACTCCCTCCCCCTGCCCCCCCGTAAAGTAGATCTTGGTTTTTTTGGGCGACTATTTCAAAAGGGTGGAGTCTCCCCCATAATGGATGCCCTGTCCGCCCAATGTCCAAACGCCAAACACGAAAGCGCTCACGTGGTGAAAATTCAGGGCCGAGATCCCCAGCAGCGTATGATAGTCAACGCCGACCAAGCTCGGGGACCACGACGGGGTCGCCAAGCCGTTTTAGAAAGACATCCAGCAGGCCTCCCAAATCCCCCACGATCAAGATGCACTACGAGCTCGCGACATTGTTGGTGCGTTCTTCCGGATCCCCCTTTCAGGGTCGGCGGAGCCGGGCCTTTTTGGGGCTATCATATATCTTAACCCCCCTATATGTAATGTATGTACACAACAGATATTCCCTATATATTACCCCCCGAAATATAATGCATATGTGTGTGCGATCCCCTCGCATATGATTATTATTGTTGGATTATCTGATATATGTTCACGCCACTACTACCGTCCATTCGAACTTCGCAAGGTTGACATCTTCTTGCTGATGCGGTGTCACCCAAGTGTTTTCGTTCACTGGCCGATTATCTGATGTCGTTGGAAGCATGCCGCCGTGCCGTTTTTTCCCTCCGCGATGAGGCGCCCAGGTTTCTAGCGACGGGGTGCCGTTTCCGGCCAGAAAGTTTGCAAGAGGACGGACGTTGCGGGACAACCCGCACGAAGTTCGTTCGCGTTGCTTGTTTTTCATATTCCGCCATTGTTTCACATGTGCGTGGTTAAGGAGTTCCTCCTCGTCGCATGACCAGACGCGTTGATAATGCGGGTTGCTTTTCTGTCGAATGAGACTTGATCACCGTTTGTGGCCATGAAACTTGTGACTAACACAACAGCTGCACATATCAGATGCGGGTGGTTCACAAATGCGGCTCTCGCTTTACCGCCGCGAGCTGTCAATTTCAAGGGCCTCAAGAGGACGGGTCGGCCTCAAAATTGGTTTTCGCAAAATCGTCGCGCAAGTTCGTGCACTTTTCTGAAAGCGATAACTGCAACGTTGGAAGGTGGTTGCCAACATGTGTCTCGTATGTGTGTGGCCCTCGCCATTGCGCCGCGCATTGTCGCACGCATGGCGGGTGGTTCATGTTCACGTGGGGATATTGGATTTGTTCTTGAGATTTCCGCGAACGGTGCGACCCGACGATCAACCAAAAACAGCATGTACACGGACTGGTACTGGGTCAATTTCTGAAAGAGAAGTTATCTTTGGAGATGCCTTCTGGTGTTCTGGCCAGACGCATAAAATTGTGCAATTGTTACATGGACGGAGGATGTTTTTCTTTTTTTTTCAACGCGGGGCTCACCTTGAACACTTCATTTGGAGTCCTTACGCTGATGGAAGGTGGATCCGTTTCAAGACAGAGAGTTGTTGTTTGAATTGCAAGCCTATGGGGCGTTCGTCCTTGACGGAAACACCTCCTGCACTGAAAGAAAGTTCATGTATGGACGGACTTGGGACGGGAGGCTGTGCCGCGGCGTCGATGGTGCATCCCGAATTTACTCTGGTCTTCATCCCTCTTCATTCTTCCGCCTCGACCCCGCATTTTTGGCAAGCAGCGATCTCCCGCCTTCCTGGACCCCCCCAGCGGCAGCATGGCGGCGGCGGCGGCGCCCAAGCTATCGGACTTCGTGATCTGCGGCGCGGGGGGGCTGGGCCCCGGGGCGGACGGCAGCAAGGGCTACCTCTTTGTCGGGGACAGCGACGAGGTCGGCCCGGCGAAGGAGGCGCTCGCCGCGGACGTGCCGTACCTCAGCGTGCCGCTCAGCGCGCGCGGGCTCACGCAGGGCGACGCCGACGCCGTCGTGGGCGCCCTCGCGGCGCTGCCGCGGCCGACCACCGTGCAGAGCGCCTGCGGCGCGCGGGCCAGCGCCGCCGTCGCGCTCTACCTCGGCGCGGCGAGGGGCCAGAGCGGCGACGAGGCATGGGCGGCCGCGCAAGCAGAGGGCATGAGGTGCTGCGCCGCGCCCGCCGCGGCCTCGTTCCTGGCGTGGGCGAGGTGCTGCACCAAGCCCGCCGCGGCCGTGTTCCGGGCGTGGATTCAGAGCTCCCTGCCCGCCGCGGCGGGCGCGCCGCTGCTGCTGCAGCTGTTCGACCGGGAGTTTGGGAGCTCCACGTACACGTACCTGCTCGCCGACCGTGACACGCTGGAGGCGGTGATCATCGACCCGGTTCTGGAGCACGCCGAGAGGGACGCGTCGCACGTCAAGCGGCTGGGCCTCACGCTCAAGTTCGCCCTCAACACGCACTGCCACGCCGACCACATCACGGGCACGGGTGCCTTGAAGGCGCTGCTGCCGGGCGTCCAAAGCGTCATCGCCGAGGCGGCGGGCGCCAAGGCGGACTTGCTCTGCAAGCCCGGCGAGGTCTTCACCTTCGGCAGCCACAGGTTGGAGGTCCGCGCGACGCCCGGGCACACAAGCGGTTGCGTGACGTACGTCCTGAATGGGACGAAGGCGTTCACGGGCGACGCGCTGCTCGTGGGCGGCTGTGGGCGCACCGACTTCCAGCAGGGCGACAGCTCGGTGCTGTACAGCAGCGTGCACACGCAGATCTTCACCCTGGACGGTGCGGCCAAGATCTACCCAGCGCACGACTACAAGGGCCGGACGGTGTCCACGGTGGCGGAGGAGAGGGCGAGGAACCCGCGCTTGACTCTCCCAGAGCCAGAGTTCTGCAAGCTCATGGCAGAGCTCGGCCTGCCATACCCGAAGAAGATCGACGCCTCGCTGCCCGCCAACCTCAGGTGCGGCGTCCAGGACTGAGAACGGGCTCAGAAGAGACAGGCAGACGGTGCGGACCGTGACAGCGCTGTGCGGTTTGGCCCTGTAGGCGAGGTTGGTCCGTGGATCGTATCTCGCACCTTTTTTAAGAAGGATCTTCGGTGCGGCCAGTGCCTCAAAGGAGGAAAGGGTACCAATACCGCTACCCTTGCCTCGATTTCGCCCGTTTCGGCCTCCTGGGAGGCCCTCGTCGCCACGGCTGGATTCGCTTCGAGATTTTGGTCAGAACCCACCCCAGGAGAGGTCCAGGGAGCAGCAGTACGGGTGCCTGTTGGTTTCCTCAGTGCCCGCATGGGAAGTGGACCGCCGCAGAAATCACAACCCAGACCCGACAGCGCATCCTTGAAGCCAGGAGGATCGCCCTGGGATGTACAGACCCAACGTCCCGCCCAGGCTGTTTGGACCGCTGGGTCTTGAGGTCAATAGATCAGAGCCGATTATTTTTGAATGGGTCGGGTACTGAGAGGACGCCCACCCAAGCAAGTCGATTGAGAAATGTTGCACCCATTCACTCAACATTAGCATTCGCTCTGTACTGGTCAAGTCTCCCGTCGGCTTCGATATTCCATGTTCGATGAGTCGATGAGTTGTTTCACTTGGCAGTGTGGCAGGGGCACTCGGAATGTGGCGAAGTGCCCCCCGCAAGTTTCAAGGACGGTTTGCTCAAGGTGTTTATCTGAACCATTGGAGAGGGGGAGGAGGGAAGCCTCCGAGATATGCGCCTGCTAGGGTTGCATTTCCAGCAGGCGACGTTCCCCATGTCAGCGCTAGGCCAAACTTCAAGATACCCGCCATCGGGTTCTCACTCCCAACAGGCGGCTCTCTTCGTGCCAGTGCTGAACACCAAGCCGTAGCACCTGGACAGATTGAGTTCACGCGTAGCGCACAAGCCGCTGCGCAATGTCGACTTCTTGGTGCAGACGGTGCTAGAACCCCCTCTTCATCTCTCCCTCCCCCCTCCTCCCTACTCCTCCATCCGTCCCCCCATCCTTCTCTCCTCCGCCTCCCTCCTCCCCAGCCTCTTTCCCCTCCTCACGCTCTCCTCCCTCTTTTTTCAAAGTCTGATGCCTAAGATAAGCGGGAGGAGGAGGGGATGGGGAAGATGAGGAGCAGCAGGATCATGAAGTGCTCCCCCCCTCAGAGTGCTCATTCTCTCTTCCCCCACACCCCGGCCTCTGGCCAACCTCGTGCACGCCAGCAGGAGCCCTTCCCGCGGCGCTCCTTCTCGCGGGTTCCAGCGGGGAGTCCACTCGCCGCCGCCGACATCGGCGCCGTCGTCAGCGTCGTCTTCTTCGTTGGCGTCGGCGTCTGCGTCGTCGTCGCCCTGGGGCGCCGCCGGGGAGTGCGACCGCGGAGCGCGGAGCGCGGAGCGCAGGATCTGCCTCGCACGCCGAGCGTGACGAGGGCGCGGGAGGCGCCGCGGGGGTCGGTGGGCGTGCCCACGGAAGGTCGAGGAGCGAGTGTCGGACGGAATGTGTTTCCAGTCTCGGGATGCTCTCCAGCAGCTGCGCCTCGTCGAGAGCGATGCGGGCGGTGCCCGGATCGTGCCGGACGGCCGCCAGAGGCCCAGGCTGCGACCCGAAAGCCAGAAACCAGACGGCGAAGATCATTCGGGTCGTCGCTGTCGTCGTCGTCGTCGTTTTATCAGCGAGGGTCCATTTCGATCCGATCGATCTGACTCGGTATCGGTTTCGGCCTATTCGATCCGATTCTCTTTCGATGTTTTGACGATGCGTTGCGGCCCAATGCGCCATGGCGCTGTCGTGCGTCTTGGCGTGACCTCGATTCGATTTCGACTCTGTGCCGATGCAGGCCGATCCGACGCACGCTTTGATCCAATCCCATTTCCCGAGCCGATGCTGGCTGATCTTGGCCATCTACCGTGGGTCATCACTTACGGGGATCGGCCAAACCCTGGGTTTGGTAGCCACCTGGAGCCGATCCCCCTTCCTCTCATGTTGCATCTTCGGGGGACCTTTTCTGTCCCGTCGCTCTCTAATCCGCGTCGAATCCGTGTCGAATCCATGTCGGACTCGTCGAAACCACGTCGAACCCGCGTCGGATTCACGCCAAATTTGCGTCGATTCCGCATCGAGCCCGCGTCGGGCACAAGAAAAGATGCCAATTTTTTGGGGGACAGACGAGGCCCCTCGAAGGTGCAACGTCACTCCTCCTCGCCCAGCCGACCCAGATTTGGGAGCTGCTTCGTGATTGGCCCGTGTTCGCATCATGTTGTTGTTTGACCTCGGCAAGCGCTGACCTAGGTTGGCGCGTCGCCGAGCCGAGGCGCGCCTCCTTGAGGGAGGGGACCAGGTGTTACCCCAGAGGTGGTCTTTGTTCACGGGGCAGTCAACGAATCTAGGCCTCCTAGATGGGGTCGGAGTAGATTGGGGTAGGAGGATCGCGACGCATCGCCGATGCATCGCCGATGAGGCTCGATGAGGAGCCCGATTTGCTTCACGTCGACGTCGCCGATGCATCGCCCACGTCGACGATGCGTCGCCGGTGCATCCCCAATGCATCACCGATGCATCGCCGATGCATCGGCGATGCGGCGCGATCCTCCGACCCCATCGATCTACTCCGACCCCGTCCAGGAGGCCTCTAATGTAACGAAGTCAGGCCGCGGGCTCTGCTCCCATGTCGGCCTCCCGGGGGGGGGGGCGCGTCGGGCCGCGGAGCTGTCGAAGACGGGGCGTCTGGGTCACCTCCAGAGGCGCAGAGATAAACGCGCGTCGCGGTCTGGACCCGAGCGGCTGCACTTTTGCAAGGCGGCGGCGCGAGGGCGCGAAGATAACCGCGCATCGCGGGGCGCGGTGCGGGAAGTCAGGTGGCCCACGCCTCAGGTAACCGTTGGAACGTTCTAGGGACCAGGTCAGAGTTGAGTCGGGCATGACGCTCTACAGGAGAGTAGGTTCAGCAATAGTAGAAGAATAGTCTAGTGACGATGTTCCGTGCTCTTTTGATTATTTGCGCTTATTTTTGACTAGACGATCTATTATTTGACTATGTAAAAAATATGTTTTCCAATAACCCCCTGCATGAGGACATACTCGACCTAAGCTTGAGCGGTTTGGATCGGGATGGAGAATCGGGTGTTGCCAGAGAGAGGTGGCCTAGGGTGGCCCCAGCTCCTCCAGGGCGGCCCAGAAGGCCTCCAGCAGCACCCCTCACGAGGCCCAGAGTCCCAGAAGCTCCACAATGGCGCGACAAGCTCGGAGCACCCTGGGCCAGGATCACCTCTGGCAACCTCCGAAGGAGGAGGGGGAGGGGGGGCGGGCTCTGGGAGGTTCTTCGTGGTCGCAAGAGGATCTGAGTGATTCTCAGAGGTCCCAGGCAGTTCTAGGTCCAGGGGTGCTCTAGGGGGGTTCGGGGGAAGCCTGGGGGCTTGCCACGAACAGAGGCCTTGGGTGCTCCCCCCCGAGAGGAGGGGAGAGCGGAAGGTCCTCCTGGACTCCGGTGTGGTAATCTGTCCCTTCTCATGCTCCTCATCATCACCCTTCCCCCCTTCCGTCGTCCGATTGTTGCAACAGCTACTGGGATGGAGGGGTGGCTTTTAAATTGCGTCCTCGCCTCATCGCCGCGCAGATTCGTCTTCAAAGCTTGCAGCAGCTACAGGGATGGAGGCGGGAGGGTCAAAAAGAGCTCTCGCCTGAGCGCCGCGCACATTCGTTCAAAACGTGCGCAACAGCTACAACGATGGAGGAGGGGTCAAACAAATTGGACTCTCGCCTTTGCTCCGCGCACGTTAGCTTGAAAATTACTGGCGCATCGCATACCCCCACCAGCCCATCCAGAAACGATGTTCATGAGAGCTGCCTGGAGGAGGGACGTAGGTAAGCATGTAGTGAAGAAGGGGCGCCAACAGTGGTAAAGTTAAAGACCTCATGGAGCCTCTCGGAACAATATTGGTGCAAGTGCGGAAGCATGTTGGGTTCTCATCGGGTTTTCTTGAGGCCCGCGGGGGGGACCCGGAGGGCTTCTTGGGGCAATATGAGAGCGCATGATTCTAAGAAAAGGGTGGCGCCAATTGGGATAGGAGAAGAAGGAGAAGGAGGCGGAGGATGAGGAAAAGGTGGAAGATGAAGATGTGAGAGCCAGAGAGCGACGACGACGTCGACGACGACAGGAGTCATTCATCAAGGCCTTCGCAAGTCGTTCGGTTGTGATGGTTTGGTTCCCTTCGGTGTTGGAAGGATCTTGACTTCTTCGGGGCGTCCTTGTGAGGCTCCGCGGCCACTTGGAGCCGTCTTGGGTCGGTCTTGGGGCCTCTTGGAGGCATGTTAAAGACCCTCCTGACATATCTGATATGTCTCTTCAGACCCTCTTGAGAGCCTTGGGAGCCATCTTGGAGAATATCGCTCAAACAAGGGGGCACGCCTCGAATTAGGGTTGCCCCTCTCGGGATTAGAAAAAACTTGCTTGAAACAAATGGGGATGTTTTTGGGGTGCTCTTCAGGACATCTTAGAGCCATTTGGGGAGCCTTTGGGGTTCTCTTGGGACCTGCTTGGGGCCCTCTTGGAAGCCTTGGGGGGCCCTCTTGGGGCGGTCTTCGCGAATATCGATCAAAGAAGGGAGGGGGTCTTCGATCAGTGCCCCCCTCAGGAGCCCACACAGTTGCTTGTTGGAGCCCTCTTGGGACGCTCATGGGTTACGCAGGCGGGGACAGCACGGTGAGGGCGCGGCCGCCGTCACTCGTGCTGCCCTCCTCCCAAGTCCTCGGACGAGAGCTGTCAGGGCTCGCGCATCGCGCACATCCTGGATCGCACTTCGTCCTCCTAGCTACTCCCTCCCCCTCCTCCCGGGCGGACAGCGCAGACGCTGAGCCGACGCTTGACGATGATAGAAGAACGTAGTGCCTTCACAGCCCAGCGCAAGGCCGGAGCGATAGGGGCGCTCCTGACAGCTCCATGGGCTGTCTCTATCTGTCTCTCTTTCTTCCTCTCTCCACCGATCGGAGGCTGCCAGGAGGGTTCGTTGGACAGGGTTGATCTCGCTAGACCTGACGCCCCCCCCCCCAGCCCGACCCGAGGCCCCCCGGCTCGACCTGAGGCGCCCCAGCAACCGCCGCGATCACCCTTCTTGAGCCAGACCCTCTCGCCGTTCCCGATCCGAGGCGGAGGGAGCGACACCACCACCACCAGCGGGCCACCTCCGGCGAGGAGGGCAGGGGCTCCTCCTCCTCCTCCTCTTCCTCCTCCTCCTCCTCCTCCTCCCTCCTCCTCTCCTCCTCCTCCTCCTCCTCCTCCTCCTCCTCCTCCTCCTCCTCCCCCCCTTCCCCTCCTCCTCCCCCTCCTCCCAGAGCGGTCGGGGGGGGCACCACCCAGAAGGGACCCTCCCCGCGATGGACAGTGGGCTGTGCGCCGAGAGCGCGGCTCCGCGGGACGCGTCGGCTCCAGGGTCGCGCAGGCTCGGCTTCGCGCGCGCGGCGCGCGCGCCGTGCAGGTTATCATTATTGCTGCCAGTCGTCGTCGTCGTCGTCTGATGCACGGTGGGGCTTTCTCTTAAGGAATATGCCCCGGAGCCTAGCGGCTCTGGGAAGCGACGGGGCCGTTTTGTTGTCCTGATCGTTCTGCAGCGCTTCTGCAGTTCGGGTGCCGTTTTTTGGTTTTCCGGTTCCGTCGCCGTGTTGTGTTCTGGTTCCGGTTTCGGCTTGAATCCCCGAGCCAGTTTTTCGACAAACCGTGCTTTTACAGTTTTCTTTCCTAAGGTCAAGATCTAATTTCAAACAAAAAATGGCCCTGCCGTGTCCAAAAGACACTAAGCCCAGTAGGCTTGAGACCCTGGAGGATTCCTTCTATGATGAGGGCGGCGGTGGTATCCATGGCCGAGCCTCGATAGGTGTTCCACCGGCTTCCAGACCCTGGGTTCCCTACCAAGGGTTCTTTATCCATTGCCCCTACCGTAGAGTCCGAGTAGATGAGGCCAGAGGAGCGCGCCGCATCGCCGACGCATCGGCGATGCGGCGCGATGTCAAGCTTGAATTTCACGATGCATCGGCGATGCGTTCCGCTATCCTCCGACCCATCTACTCGCTCCGACCCATCTATTCGGACCCAAAGTGGGAGGCCTCCAGGTTGGTGAAGAGCGGCACGGACTTGGCATCGCTCGGACGTGTGGGTGTTTTTTCTTCGGGAAAGGACCGTTGAGGAGCATCCTGGATCATCCTGCGAACGCAAAACGCACGAAACAGACAAATGCACGGCGAATGGACGCCCGAGCGATGGCAAGTGGAGACGGAAAGGGCGGGGACGGAGAACAGCACCATATCTTGCCCAGTGTGAGCAGGGTGCGTTGTCGGTGTCGCCGCGGACGTGGGGCCCACGTCGCCTGCCCAACAGCGGAAGCTGGTGGTTTTGGACAGGATTTGTTGCTGGGCATTGTCCCCACGTCTGTCCGGTCCCAGCCCGGGCGTGCCAAGTTTCGTTCTCCTTTGTTTCCGCCTCCCCGTTGCCAGGGCGCGCGCATCGCAAACATCCTGGAGCGCTCCTCGCTCAACTCGCTGGCCTCGTGGGCGCCTCAGCGGCAGCGCGTCGCCGCGGGACATGCGAATCTCGGCCAGCGCTGCCGAAGGGCGAAGCTGAAGGTGTCGATGCGGCCGTGCTTGCCGCAATCGGCATCGGGGCTTGGGCTGGCGAAGGGGATGAGATCTTTGTTACCCACGGGGGCTCGAAGATGATCGCGCCTCGCTCCTCGCGGTCTGGGCCGCAAAGGTGCCTTCTCCAGTGCGGCGGCCCGAGGCTCGCCAAGATAACCGCTTGCCGCGACGGCGGGGGGCGAAGGGCGACGTTTTGCGACCTGGGAGCTCAGACGCCCCCCAGCGCGTCAGGACCACCCCACCTGCTCTCGTGACACGCTTGACATGTTCAGAATTATCCGTATTGGTTAGCAACACTTTGTCTCGGTGCCCATCTTAAGGATCCCCTCAGCTCCTGACGGCACATCCCTAAGAATGCCATCCCTCTGGGCTCGTCGATCTCAGGGATAGGATTAAGTCAGAGATTGGTTATCTCGGCCGCGCACCCATACCCTTCAGTCGCAGCCCCAGCCGCCCTCTGGGCCCTACTGCAGCCCGCCGCCGCCTGCATGCGATTCCTGGCAGTCCCCCGCCCACCCCCGCCGCCTGGCGCAGCGGGGACTGCGCCCCGCCCTGTCCCCGCTGCACCGTCACGCGAGGCCTGCCAGGGCCCCGCGGCGGCGGCCCTTTTGGCAGGGAGTGGTAAAGGAGTGGAGAGATCCGTTGCCGAGCAGTGGCGCACGGGGTGTCCAGCACCGTGCACGTGCGCGTGCGCGTATACGTGCGTGCGCGCACACGTACGAGCGACGTCGAACTGGCTTCCGTCACAGCACGATGCGTCCTGACCGCCAGCTGCGGATGTGAGAGGTGCACGTTCTCGCAGGAGTGCGCTGGAGCGTGTCCGAGTGCGTGTGTGCGTGTGCGCGCGTGCGTGCGTGCGTGCGTGCGTGTGTGCAGGCTTGCACTCGGGAGTCATCCGCCTTTGAGTGCGCCCTGGTATCAGCGGCCGTGCGGCACGTCCAGCTCGTGTGTGGGGAAGTCGTGTGAGAATGCGTGCCTCTGCGTGTGAGCCCACGTCGGCTTCGCGTCGTTGTCTTTTCGCGCTGGGCAGAAATCGTCGGTTGCACCTCATGCCTGCGTGCGTCCGTGTCTAGTTATGTCCGTATGTACGTGCCCGCGTCTCCCTGCGTTTGCCAGTCTGTCTTTGTCCGCGGCTGCGTTTACACGGCTGCTGGCCTGGTCTCGTTGATTCGCGCGCCCGTGTGAGCGTGCATGTACCGTGCACGGTGTGCGTCTTTGTAACTAGGAGGCCTATCTCGGAATCTTTTAATGTTGTAATCTGCTACCCCGCAGCTCGCCTTTGCGTACGTAATCGTGACCTGTTGATTGCCGACGTCAGCGCGTCGGAGGAAAGTGTGTGCATGTCCTAGCTCCGGCTCTGTTCCCGCTTCTCGTTGTTCATGTCTCATGTCATTTGTGATTTTCACCTTCCCCCAGCCTCATCCGTCTATCCTTTCTCGTTGCCTGCCCGTTCGCCCCGTCGCAATTTGCCGTAGTGTGATGATCCCGTTCACTTGTTTTTACTGTCTCTAGCAGCGTTGGCACTAAGAAGTTTTTGTTGTCTGCCTGCGTTGTGAGAAAGAGGCCAGCAGGCCAGGGTCCAGCCGTTATCACTATGGGGTTGCGCGGTATCTTAGGCGACTAGCTATTGGCTAGATGCGCTGTGTTCTGGACGTTGCCGCCACGTTGTTGCGCGTCGGTTACGCGATGGGTGCGCGGTGGGTGCGCGATGGGTGGCGCGATGCGCGTTGGGTTGCGCGGCAGTTGCGTATTTGTTGTGCGTGGTGGGTGGCTCGAAGGGCTTGCGCAGAGGACGACTGGCCTTGGGGGGAATATCTACCTGTCATCTTCCTCGTTGCGAAGGTCGCTGGCCTGTGCTACGGTAGACCTACGTACACACAGATACAGACGCACACAGACGCACATTCACAGACCTACAAGTGCATAGCAATCGAAGGATCACCCGCGCATACACATCACGATCCCTCGGCGGCGGCAAACTAGCAAGCAATGATGTCAACGCGCTGGTCCAAAACTGTGGATTCGTATACACCCTGTGTGGAACCCAGAGTGTGGGACCCTACGCGTGTGGAGCACGTTGCGCGAGTGCGGACCTCAGAGTGTGCAGCCCCATGCGTGACCCACCGCACCGCCCAACGCGCTCCCGCGCGCGTGTGTGTGAGGCCGCTCAAAGCATCCCCCACTGCACAGCATCATGGTCCTAGCCTCTCGCCCTCCGTTGGGCTCTGCTCGGCGACTCAACCCAGAAGCAAAGGCCAGTTCTTCGGGGTGCAGGAGCCGGCTGCGCTGCAGCATGCACGGCCAGGGTTGTGCACCTTGAGTGGCTAGCCCCAGCTTCCCTCGCGCACCCTCAAGACGCCGAGTTGAGTTTGTTTGTTCTGCCGCGCCCCAAGGTCAGCCCCACTTGCGGTCGCGAGGAACCCGTACTACCGTTTCACTGGCGCCGCCGGCCTCGCTGTTTCCATTGTTTTTTCTCAGATCTTCTGGCCAGTTCGCATCACGAGCTATGCGGCCAAACTTGGGGCTGCTGAGTATCCTCGGCCACGCTCCAGATTTTGTAGTGATGCATGGATTGATGTTATCACCTTCCGGTTTTGCGTTCTTGTTCTTTCCCAATTCTTCCCAAATTTGTCGCCGTACCTCATGCGTCGTGCTATCAAACCTCAACTTGTCCCTGTCTCTCCTCCTGCTCTTGCCCGTCGTTCCTTTGATATGTCTGCCTCGTTTGTTAAATTGGTCACAACTTTCTTCAATCGCAATGGCTGCGCGTGTGCGCACGATATGCTTGTGCGTGTCGACGCGGCTGCGACCCAGCGCGGGCGTTCGAGGTTGAACGCCGCCAGTGACCCAGAATCGGCCAGTATGGAACGACCTGGCGATCGGAAAGCCGTCGACCGTTCCAAGATTGAACGATCCACGCGGTGTTAGAAGTCGACGCCGAGGTCGTCACGGCACGAACTTGCCGCACCCATGTTTGCCCAGCTTTGCCTCCGTGCTCGCCCACCGGCAGCACTTGTCTCGCACTAGAGCCGTCCGGGGGAGCTGTTGGGCTGGTCCTGGGGCTCCAGACCCGGGACCGCCCGCCGCCGCGCACGGAAAGCCCAGGGCAACGAGAGGGGACACCCGTACGAAGAGGACGAGAAGGAGGAGGAGGACGAGGACGAGGACGAGGACGAGGATGAGGAGGAGGGGGACGACGACGACGAGGAGGACAAGGAGGAAGGGAGGCTACGAACAACGCTCTTTCCAGCCACTAGGAACCAAGAGCAGGAGCCGCAGCCTGTTGCTGCGCCTCCTGTTCTCTTTATCATCACCGCTGTCCTACCTCTTCTCCCCAACAAATATTGACATCAACTGCGCAACCTCTTCCACGACAGCTACGCCATAGCAGCGCTAGCAGTCCTGGAGAGCGCGAGCGGCAAGAAGAGATTCGTCTAGGATGGCACACACGACGTCACTGTGAACCACCGGATTCGATGCCAGAACCGATGGAGGATACCGAGGCCCGCTAAAAAGAACCAATTGTTGGATTATTACGAGGATTGACAGGAGGTAATTTTCTCGCTCGTCACCGACCTGCGAGGTCAAGGGCGAGGTCTATTGCAACATGGTCGGCACTTTCGGCATATCCAGCGCCTCGGAATGGCGGGCCAGATCTATTCGGAGCCGTGCTACTGGCGATTTTCTGTTTTGGGGGAGACGACGTGGCCAGTAGAGCAGCACACCTACGCCGACGATTTCGAGGCGATCACCGCAGGGAAACGAGGGCGACTGGCAACGCTATCTATGGTCGTCTTACTTGGCGTCTCCGGCATCCCGGCGAATGGGCGGCCTCAAGGTGGACTGGATCGGCGGTCGGCTTCCACTGCGACTACACAGAGTACACCATGGGCCTCTCGGAGGTGAGGGCGGCTTGGGTTGCCCGGTGCCGGGAGACGGTCGGACGCGGCGCCATCTACGCGAGCGTGGCGTCGGGTTCGGGGCGTCTGGGCTTCGCTGCGATAGTCCTTGTTTGGGAGAGGTCGCTCTTGGGGCCGGCGCGCGCCTGGCTCGCCAGCGTCGTAAATGCAGACAAGAAAAGGACCGACCATGTGCGACCAGGCTCGCGGGCGCGGTCGAGCGGGCGAGGAATGGAAGCGCTTTTCAAGTTCAGAACCGAGAGCGCTGAGCCTTCCGCTCGGACGCGAAGACCGAGGGAGGACGCCGCTGGATAGGCGGCTGGGAAGTATCGCCGAACGGCAGCACGCGAGGGGCTTGCTGGCACGTATCGGAGGTTGAAACGAGATGGTCCCAGTGGGCACGGGCCAAGGCCAACGACCCGGCCAAGGCCATCGCGGCGCTGGAACTCTTTGACAAGATCTCCTGCGCGAAGCTGTTCGCGAAGGCTGGAGAGCGCCACCAGATGACGGGGTCGACGGGCAACTCAGGGACCGCCCGCGCGGCGAACAGGGCCACGTCGACCAAGCTGCCGTTGACAGCCCTCCGCAGCGAGCTTTCGGAGGAGCTGCGGGCACGCAAGGTGGCGCTGAGCCTAAAATGGCTACCGCGCGAGGAGAATAAGGAGGCGGACGACGTCAGCAACGCGAAGACGGAGGAATTTGACGAATCCCTCAGGATCCACGCGGCGGCCGCGGACCTGAAGTGGCGCGTGCTCGACGAGACGATGCAGGACGCACGCAGCGGGGCGCGGCCAGGGTGGCCGCGGGCGCACGCGCCTGGCACAGCGGTGGGAAAAGGTGGATCTGGAGCCGGTCGCACCGGTCGCGCCAGTCGCGCTGGTCGCGCTGCTCGCGGCGGTCGCGCTGGTCGCGCCAGGCGCGCTGGTCGCGCCGGTCGCGCCGGTCGCGCCAGTCGTGCCAGTCGCGCCGGTCGCGCCGGCTGCGCCAGTCGCGCCGGTCATGCCACGGCGGTCGCGCCCGTTGCGCTGGTCGCGCCGGTTGCGCCGGTCGTGCCGGTCGCGCTGGTCACGCCCGTCACGTTCGTCGAGCTGCGCGCGTTGCCCAGAGGCCCATCCAGCGTCATAATTATGGAAATGCTTTATTTTTGGAGTCATGCCACAAACGCAACTCCAAAATATAAAATATAGAGATATGCCGTGACCCCACAGTAAACTCCACCGAAGGCCCAGTGGCAGCGGTCGCATGCGTCTACGCCGCCAATTTCGTCACACCCCTCACGCGGTTCATGACCCCCCAATGGAGCTCCATCGAGGGCCCCAGTGGTGACGTTCGCATGCTTCCTCCATGTATTTCGGCACACCCCTCACGCGGTTTGTCATTGGCCTTGTCGCCGTTCCTTTCCGCAGCCGTTTTGGCTCAGCAAGATTCATGCCTCCACGACTTACTGGAAAAGAGATTTCTGATGTCGAAGCAAACCAATTCTTCGATTCGAACGTGAATGTTGGGAGCCCGCTGAAAGCAATATTTCAGTATGCGAAGGGAAGTCCAAATGACAAAAAAAAGAGCGTCGATTGGCCTGGAATCAAAAAGAATCGCCAAGCTCTCACCGACATATTTCAGCTAACGGGTGGACGCATGCTCAAACACAAAACATTCTGCCTTCAGTTGCACACTTATTACAATAAAAACAATGCGCGGGTCACCCACCCAGACTGCGAGGTAATATCGTACAGACTTCGTAACATGATGTCGCACCTGCGAGATTTCAAACGGGCTTCGACCAAATCTGGGAAGGAACCGCCGACAGCGTACAAGCCGTTATCGGCTCTGCTACAGACAATTGTTGTGGACGGAGATGACAGCGATAATGAGGAGAACGGCAGCAGCGACGTTGAGGCAGTATCACCACCCAGAAAGAAGAGGGCTCTTGCAATCTCTGTGTCCAGCACATGCGTTTCGCCCAGCTCTTGTTCGGGAACTAACATAGGGGAGATCGATTTCGAACAACTGGAAGCAGCTGTTTTCCCAAGGGCGCGTGCTTCGACCAGCGGCTCCAAGGAGGTTGCAGCCCATGGCGCAGGACATATCACACAGTCCAGTTCAGCTGCTGACGGGGCCGAAGGAAGTCCCATGAAGAAACCTGCTGCTGATGATGCCGAGGAACCCTGCGGAACGACGCCGAAAGGCAAAGTTGATCTGATGCAGGCTGCCCTTGACGTCAAACCGCAAAAGCCAGGTGCGAAGGTGGAGAAGGCTCGGAAAAGACCAGCAGCATGTTCACCTGGTGAGGAGATTTCCATCGATGAGTTGTTCGAGAGATACAAGCCCACGGAAAGCCAGCCCTACAAGACACAGTACAAGAGACTTCACTCGATTATCTGGCACAGAGAGAGAGATCGTTGCAGAAAAGCTGAAATGGCTGATGACATGGTGAGTCAAAGAGCAAGCCAAGCTACTAAAACTGTGATGGATCGATTCAAAGGGAAATACGGAGGCGGCGATTGATTTCCAGACGCCTTGGCACTTTCATTGCTATGTCGATGCATCTGCTACTATCTCCGCCAGCATTTAATACATACGCATTTCTTCGCAATATCGCTTGAGTTTTTTGCGGGCTCCGATGCGAGCCCACTCTGATCCAGATGGCATTGCCTCAGAGTGTTCCAGAGTGCCCTTCAAACAAAACAACAACCTCATACATGCAGAGCAAGCAGCAGATGTAGTGCCCGTCGGAGCTCTAAACAGCATGACTCTCAGGCGGCCTTTTCCCATGGTATCGCTCCTACTGATTCTGGCCTTCTCAGTACACATCCCTGTCTTGCCGAGCTTTTACAGCAAGTGCAAGCATTGTTTGCTCAGCACAGGGATTTTTGTTTAGCACGGGGATCCCTGGGGCTCTCTACAGGGGACCATCGAGGCTCTACGCAGTAACCTCCAGGCAAGGAAACAAACTAAGCATATCCGACTGCCCGCAAGGAGGGGGTGTCTCATTTGGGAGCCCCCTTTCTGAGGCCCATTCATACTCAGACTCACTGCAAACTAGACCCGTTCACGCACTCACTCATGCACGCACTTCCCCACACGTACACAACACGCGTTCCTATGCGCCGATGTGTCTAGACATGCTCTGATTCACTCATACTCCGACCAGCGGACTCAGACGACCTCCCGCATGGCGCATCAGTTTTCATCAGGTAGCGCAGCGAGCATCGCCATGCATCAAGAATGGCGTTCGGTCAGACTTTTCGTGCAGGGTCCTGTAGGAGGAGGAGGAAGAGGAGGAGGAGGAGGAGGAGGAGGAAAATTGTATGTAAAAGTTGTGCGGGCTCGGGCCCCATCAAGGCTCGCCTGGTTCTCTTGAGGACCCACTGCTGCCAGAGCTGTTTGGCTCAAGGCGCGATCGGGCTGCCAGTGCCCTCGGCACCAGCAGAACATGTCTAGCCAACCAGACATCCCGTTTTACACAGGACGGGCGTTTCGCCTGGGCCCAGCTGGGGAAATTTCCCCACGAGATGGATCGGCAGTACACGACGTACCAGTG